CACTGGTGGTTTGCACCTTGCTCTTGCTGTGAAGGGTCAAAATATTCTAAAAAAACAACAAAGAAAAGGTGTGTCAAACTCCAAAGCAACGATTGAGCTGCCTGTGGCACCAGAGCTGGGTTTAAAACGCCCTGGTGCTGCTGCTGAGCTGTGCAGTGGGCACTGAGGTTCCCAGCAGCCCTGCCCCAGGTTGGCTGGGGGAATCCTCTGCTGGGGCCCGAGTGTGCCAAGGCTTCTCTGCCTGGACAAAGAGGTGAAGATGCTGAGAACAGGGAAGGAACTTGTGTGAGTCAGTCTGCAGACTTTTGCTGGGGAAGGTGGGATTCAGCAGTGGCCTGGCCAGGGAGGCAGGACTGAGACCCAGAGCTCTGATCTGGGCTGGAAAGGTCCCAGGGCTCCGAGATGCTCAGATCAGATAGTTTGGCTCAGAGGTTTGTCTAATTAAAAAACAAAAAAAGGCAAAATCCTATTAATTGCTATAAGGTCTTCCTCTGAAGCTGACAAATGTGTCCTGAATATCACTTCTTCAAAGGGGATAAATCACTGCAGCAGCTTTAATGGTTGGAAAGGTTTCACAGAAAAATTCCCGGTGGGCTCCAGGAGGGATGCAGACCTGGCACATGTTCTCTCTTGCTATTAAGAAATGGCCAAACTCGGGGCTTTTCCCCCCCCATTCCAGTTGGCAGATACAAAATGGAGCCAATGAAAATAGAAAGGGTCAGGCTGGTGCAAAGCTCAGGTTGTTCCAAATGGTTTGTTCTTGTATTTGAGTTTATCCAGTGCAGCCTGCCCTTCTGGTGACCCTTTTGATAATTCTGGGGGATTTCTGGCAGCCTGGTGACCTGCAGGGGAGGTCAGCAGCACAAGCCAGCCCCTCTGCCTGCTCCTGGCCTCGCAGCCATGAATCTTATTTGACTATAAAAACCAAGAAGGGTAGAATCTACCTCCAGCTTAGAAAGCAAACATGGGCCCCTTGGCCCCCTCCCTGACAGCTCTCATGAGCTCTCATTCTGTGAGGAAACTGCCCAAACCTGTGTGGCTTTAGGAGAAAAACCATAGTGGGTTTTATCACCTGCTCTACTCCCTGTTTGTGGGTGGTTGGGCTCCTGGTGGCCTTTGGGCTGGGAATGATGCAGGGACAGCCTGGGAAGAGCATGTGGCACTGGGGTGCTGAGAGCTGGGGCCAGGAGGGCAGAGGTGGGGGTGCTGGAGTTTGTGCAGATGTTTTTGCTGTGTCTTGGAGGTGCTGAGGCCATAGGAGCTCTGTCCTGCAGAGAGGTGGGGTGTCCCAGGAGCTGATGGACTGAGGAGCTGTGTATAAATCCCTGCTCATGAGACCAACCCTGCCCCCTAAAAAAGATATCAGGGCCGTGGTGCAGCTGCTGTGCTGCTGACATCAAAATTGTTCCTTTGAGCCATCATTTTCTACAGGAGAGTCTCTTTTTGTTTTTGCTTTAATTTTCCTTTTTTGCTTTTTTTTTTTTGTGTATGCATAAACTACCATAATGACAAACTGTGGTGCCTGTGAGTGAGTGACAGCTGGAATAAGAGAAATGACTAATCGGGCCTCCTGAAGCCCTGTCACATGGAGATTAAATGAGCCCTTTTTTCTTCCCCCCTCAATGAGAATCATGGGCATTTGAATGATAATATTATAGTCTCCATTAGGATGACAGTGGGGGAAAAAAATTGGCTCAGACCTGTGATTATTCCTTCAATCTAATAATTATTTAAATACCAGATAACTCCTTTCAGCCTAATTGAGGCCCTTCAGCTGCTTGGTTTATATTGTGTCCCTGAATTTACTCTCTCTTTCACCTTGTGTTACTAATAGCCTCAGATTGCTTTTAAAGCCTTATTTTAAATTTGCTTTCAAAAAAAAAAAAAAAGAGGAAAAATTAATGGTCAAATAGTATTAAGGGTCAGAGTTAAAATCATGCATGCTCTGGTTTCCCCAGCTGCATGGAACCACCCCCAGGCTCCTCTGCAGGGCACACGATGGGTTTCAGCTGGTGTTTGGGGTCTGTATCCCTGAGTGCTGCTTAACCTGGGCCCTGCACCCACGTGCTGCCCCACCAGCCCTGGGAGGCAGCAGGAGCTGCTCCATGGGGTGACAGGGAGCCAGGATGGATCGTCGTCCCCTGGCTGGTTTGGGTAGGGGATCAGCTCATGGCCCTGCTCTGTCATCTTCAAACCATCTTTGAACACACAGGTTCTCCATGCTGGGTGATCTCTCTGGCCTGTGGCAGTGACTGCTCACAAATACCCTGCAAAGCCTTCCCTGGGAAGCCCTGTGGAGCTGTGGGGTTCAGCTGACAGCTCTGCTGTGCTGCAGCTCCAGACCAGCTCTGGCTTTTGTCCTCTCTGAATGAAAATGTTGCTGGAAAAGATATAAAACTGTTACAGTCTCAGTGAAGAGCTTCTGGTTTTCCATACGTATATAAAACCTAATTCTTTAGTATTTGTAGCTTGCTCTTGGGTTTTTTTCTCACTTTGCAATGGAACAACTTTTTTAAAATTGGAAAGCTGCTGAGCAGGAAAACTGTTGTGGGCTGAGTTTTCCAGCAGAGCCTCCCTATTCCCTGCAGAATCTCTTTCACCTTGTGGACTTCCCTTGAGCTCTCTGGAGCCCTCTGCTCCAGAAGTATCTCCTCAGCTAATGAGAAAATGAGGGGGGGCTCCTGTCAGTGAGGGGTGCTTTGGCCTTGGAGCAGGAAAGCCCATTTGTGCCCTCCCCAAGGGCAGGACAGTTGAGCTGCTGGGTCAGAGCACTTCTTGGGGCATTCTGGTGCTTGAGGTTTCTTGTGGATTCATCTGGCTTGGCTGCTCTGCAGGACTCCTGTCCCTGTGGCTCTTGTTCCAGCTTTCCTGGGCTTCTCAAGCTCTTGCACAGCGTGGGGTTCCCTGTGCTTACAGGGAGGCTCTGAGCTGCTGGCAGTCCCTGCCAGCCACACACAGGCTTCTCAGTGTCTGGGGCTGCAGAGCCACGTTATCCAAGAGCAAAGCTGCTGAGACCCCAGTGCCCATGGTCAGGCTGGTGGTGCCAGCTGCAGGTCACTGGCAGCTCCTGCATGGAGAGCTGCCTTCTGAGCAGATCCTTGGGAACGGTTTGAATGGTGCCCTTGCAAAAGATTCTGGCTGTAGAGAACAGTTTGGGGTTGTTGACTCAGAAATGTAATGAGAAGAGCCAGGAGGTCACCCTGGTGCTGCTGTGGCACGCTCGGGTCTGCAGCACAGGCTTCCTGCCACAAGCATCCAAACAACAGGAAGGCTGCAGCAGGGAGAGGGATCTGCTGCTGCCAGAGGTGGGAATGAAGAGCCTGGAAATAAGAAGCCAGCAGCCAGGGAAATGTATCCCTGAGCAGAATGAGAAACCTATTACTGTGCTCTTTCTCCTGCCTTGTCAGTGACATCAGACGTGCAAGCAGGAACAGGGCTCCTTTGTCACCTTTCAGAAGCAGCTGCTGGTGTGACAAGCCTAAGGAGCGGCCGCTCGGTGCCTCTGGCTGGTGAGCTCAGGGGAGGCCTCAGCACTGTGAGTTATGTGAAACACCAAAAGGGAGATCAGCTATGGAACGAGTGAGGACAGCTGAGTGTGGGGAGCAGCCACACAGGGCAGGAGAGGAGGGGCACATCTGCAGAGAGAGGAAATTCTCTCTGGTGTGTGCGGCCGTGGTGGAAGGTGATGGGTCTTTGGGGCAGAGAGGGCAGGTGGAGTGGTGGCTCAGCCTCTTCCCAGGGTTAGCGTGACCCTGTTGTGCTGTGAGGTGGTGGAGAATCTCTTTCCTCAAGGCAGGCTGAAATGATTCCTTTGATCATCTAGCCTGGAGTGTGGAAGGAATGCATAGTTTGGGATAAAGGAGAACTTTGTGATGCTTTTCTGAGTCTGGGTGGTCAGACACATCTGTGGTGATGAGCAATGTTGAGTTCAAACCAGAAGCACCAGTCATGGTCAGGTCTTTTAATGTTCATGTTTCAGCTAGGGGAGGATGCCACCTTGCCAGAGGTGCAAGGTGATGAGGTGGAGCTGGCAGAGGGTTATAAAGCTCCTCTTCAATGGCTTCTGTGTGTGTGTGCACTGTCCGGAAGGGTGGATGGAAAAGTTCTGCTGTAAACATGCCTCACACAGCCAAAGCCTCTCTGAGGCGAGCACCCGCTTCCTAAGGAAATTCCAGCCTGGTGATTCCTAATTCTGCCCAACAGCCAGAGGCAGGGATGGTGGGGCTGTGGTCAGCACAACTCCAGCCATCCTTTGTGCCCAAATCAGATTTAAGTGCTTAGGGAGCACCCACCAAACCAAAAAACAACCAAACCCATCTGCCTTTCATGCCTCATTTCCACGTAGACTTTGGCCGGAGGTCTCCCCTGGAGTCCTCCTTGCCTTGAAGGCAGTGAGAGAGTTTCTGCCTGAAAAGCACCTGCAGATGTACCTTTGGGGAGGGGTGGGGAGAGATGCTGGTGGCTTTGGTGTATGTATGCACAATAAACTTGCCTGCATGAGACTTCTTCCTCAGCTTTCTGAATGAAATCCTAGAGGATTTAAAAATAGAAAACCTCTCTTATTTCCTCTGTTGTTTTCCACAACATACCCTGCAGGGTACCTTTCAGCCAGGACTGCAGATTGATGGTTGGTTGTGAGAGCTGGGGGTTTTGTCTTGGGCTGAAGCTGGTTATCCCCTCCCCCATGGCTGAGCAGAGTATGTTAGAAACAGCTAAACCACATGAATTAACATGTAGAAGGTGAACCAAGTGGCAAAACATCAATCCTGAACTGTTTACCAATAAGTTAGGAGACCTGCTTAATTCTTGTTGGGCTTAGAGATGTTCTCATTTTATCTCAAGGACTGTGTAATTAGAAAACCGCCTTTGAGTTTTATCTGCAGGGCACATGGGATCTAATCCTTTGCTCCTTGTGTTTCTTTTCTTTCCCCAGAACCATGTGAGGGCCATTGCTGGGGCACAGGACACGTGTGGGGAACACGAAGTTTGCCTTTCCCAGGATGGATCAGAGGAAGAACTGGCCTCGGGTACTGGACTCCGATGGCTGGTCAGTGGCTTTGCTCTGTCTCTTCCTGGCCTCGCTGTCCCGAAATGTGTCCAGCAACACCTTGTTCAGCACTTTCCACTCTGAGAACAGGGACTGGACATTCAACCACCTGACTGTCCACCAAGGCACTGGAGCAGTCTATGTTGGAGCTATCAACAGGGTTTACAAGCTTTCAGGTAACCTGACCATTTTGGTGGCTCATAAAACTGGGCCTGAGGAGGACAATAAATCCTGCTACCCACCCCTCATTGTCCAGCCATGCAGCGAGATCCTCACCCTCACCAACAATGTCAACAAGCTGCTGATCATTGACTACTCTGAGAACCGGCTGCTGGCCTGTGGCAGCCTCTACCAGGGGGTCTGCAAGCTGCTGCGCCTGGACGACCTCTTCATCTTGGTAGAGCCCTCACACAAGAAGGAGCACTACCTCTCCAGTGTCAACAAGACAGGCACCATGTATGGTGTGATCGTGCGCTCGGAAGGGGAAGATGGGAAGCTCTTCATTGGCACAGCAGTGGATGGGAAGCAGGATTATTTCCCCACCCTCTCCAGCCGCAAACTTCCCCGGGACCCAGAGTCATCAGCCATGCTGGATTATGAACTCCACAGTGACTTTGTCTCATCCCTTATCAAAATCCCCTCAGATACCTTGGCCCTCGTCTCGCACTTTGACATCTTCTACATCTATGGTTTTGCCAGTGGCAACTTTGTCTATTTTTTGACTGTGCAGCCAGAGACCCCCGAGGGCGTCTCCATCAACTCCGCCAGCGACCTCTTCTACACGTCTCGCATCGTCCGTCTCTGCAAAGATGACCCCAAGTTCCACTCCTATGTCTCTCTGCCCTTTGGCTGTGTCAAGGGGGACACCGAGTACCGCCTCCTGCAAGCAGCATACCTCTCCAAGCCGGGAGAGGTGCTGGCCAAGGCCCTCAACATCACGGCCCAGGAGGATGTCCTCTTTGCCATCTTCTCCCAGGGCCAGAAGCAGCTCCACCAGCCGCCCGACGACTCCGCGCTCTGCGTCTTCCCCATTCGCGCCATCAACGCTCAGATCAAGGAGCGCCTGCAGTCCTGCTACCAGGGGGAGGGCAACCTGGAGCTCAACTGGCTGCTGGGGAAGGACGTCCAGTGCACCAAAGCGGTAAGAGGACACTGGCTGTTGTCACTCTCAGGATCCAGCGTCAGTGCCTGGCCCTGGGGAACACCAGCTTGCAGAATAGGATCAGTCTGCCTGTGCTTCAGTCTCCCTGAATCACAGAACGGACATAGGTCTCCTTTTCTCCTTTAGTCCATGTTCTTAGCAGACACTTGGTGACGATAATGAGAGGAAAGGGTAGCCTTAAGGCAGATGAGGGAAGGTGTGCAGCTTGCTGGAAGTGTTTGCTGTAGCCAGCCTGGGTCCCTGGAAGCCTGAGGAAGGTTCTTGCCCTGCCCTGAGCAGGAGAGTGGGATCAGCAAACTAACAAGATAAACGCAAATGACAGTTGTGTATTTTGTATTTTTATTCAGCTGGTTTCTTTACTCTTGATTCACATGGTTGTGAATCACAGATTGTTCCTGGGCTGACCTGGTTATCCCTGGGGCCTTCCTTTGCCAAGCATATTAAGTTTGGCTGCTGGGAACAGATAAACATGGGTGAAATGAAAGAAGGAAGGGGAAGAGAAGATTGAGCACTCACACAGGAGACAGTCATAGCAGTGCAGTTGTAACTAGATGTGCCCAAGCATTTGGTAATTAATGTCTCTTGTGAAAAATTAGTGGATTGCAGTCAGTGCGAGGGTGATCATCCACCTATGCCACCACCTTGCTGCCTGTGCCATGCAGGAGCTCACTTGGGCAGGCTCAGTTGGTAGGGCTTGATATTCCCTAACTGACAGCAGGATGGTTTTCCTTTATTTGTGGCAAGTGGTGTTCCAGGGAGAAGCCAGTGTCCATATTCCCTGTGCTCTGTTTCACTCATGGCTGCCCCAAACCTTGTTTTTCCAGCCGGTCCCCATTGATGACAATTTCTGTGGGCTTGACATCAACCAGCCCCTGGGGGGCTCGACACCAGTGGATGGGGTGCCGCTCTCCACCTCCAGCCGGGACCGCATGACTTCAGTTGCTTCCTACGTCTACAACGGCTACAGCGTGGTGTTTGTGGGGACCAAGACTGGCAAGCTGAAGAAGGTAAGCTCGTTTCTGTGGCTCTGGAGAGCCAGGATCCATTTTTCATCTCTCTCGGGAGCCTCTGACGTGTGTGACTGCTGCTCGTGCCGTACGGGTGTTTCCCAGTGTGCAGCCAGAAGTGAGGCAGGAGTGCAAATCCCAGGGTCTGGGTCACAGAGAGCCTTGCGTGGGTGACACAAAGTTCATCCAACCATGCTGTTACTAGAGAGTGGTGTTGCTGTGGGTCTTTTGAAGTGGAGAAGTGCTGAGCCTTGGGAAAGGTGTTGCAGCTTGGTCCTGAGAAAAAGGAACCAAACAAGAACACACTGTTCTGGTTCCTCTGCAGCGTTTCAGCTCCCCAGCAATGCCTGCATGTGCTGAGGGCACCTGCCTGTGCTTCCAGCCAGCACCTTCCTGCAGCACAGGGCTCAGCACTGGGCTAGCTCTTGCATGTCCTGTCTGCCTGTGTATTATGGTGCTACCGTGGAGTTTATCTGGGGTTTCCTACATTATATCATTCAGTGAACTGTGGTGTGTGTGTTTGGGGGGCTGATGGAGAAATTGTCAGGGCAATAATGGGCCAGTCTGATTAGAGAAAAGTGAGGAGCTGCCTTGCAATTTCTGAGTGGGAGTGAACCTCAGCAAGCTGTGTCCAGGGTCTCTGACATTTCCTCCTTTATGACACACTGATGGAAATCGTGCAATAGTTCTGTTTCCCAGCAACTCCTCCTGCAACTTGTGTAGGAAACCAGGAGTTAGAAAGCTTTCGGTGATGGCAAAATTGCTGATGGTGGCAGGATGTTTTGTCTTGGATAGAGGAATGGGTTAACGTGGCTGCTTTTGGAAATCAAGCCTCAGGGCAAAGTCCTGCTGCTTCTGTCTTGCTTCTTGCCTCCTGCTCTTCCCTCTGACAGCTGGATGATTGATCAGTCCTGGAAGATAACATTCCTCACCCTCTTCATCAACAATGGAGCTGGTTGCCCAGGGCAAAGAGATGCTCCTGCTGGTTTCCTCCCCCATCACAGTGGGTGGGTTGGGGGGCTCCAGTGAGTTTCAGGACTTTAAATCCAAATGGAATTCTTCCTCCTCTGAGTCCTCCAAACTGCTCTTCAGTAAGTGGATGAAAAAGCTGGTCAGGCCTGTTGTGTGGTTCTCACTAGGTCTCTTCCAGGAGTCCCACATTTAAAGTGTGTGATGTTGGAGCTGAAGCTGGAAGGCAGCTCATGATTGGGTGCAGAAATCTGATCCAGCTCCAGCAAAACCAGCCTTAGAGATGCTGTGCTGGAAAGCTGAGAATCCTTCAAATTAACCTAGACCATAACTGACAGCATTTGGTGAACCCCCTAAATGCAGATCCTGTTTCTTGGTACCAGGGAAAGA